GTTCGGCACAGGGCGTAGGTCGTATAAGTCGGTGTTCAGGTTGGCGATCTTGTCAAGAGATATTCGACAGTGGAAAAGACAACACTAAAATCAATCGGATAAATCTTTTAATCTTGAAATGCTCAGATAGCACTCTCAGTAGAACAATATTTGTTGAATCAATACTGTAATAGTTTCATGGTAGATAAAGATGACATACAAATTAAGGCTTTAATATATTATTCAGTAATATATGTGAATTTTACACAAATAGCATGCCTTGTATCTGGATAAAATTACGAAACAATAATGATAACAATATTGTGTAATATGAGAATTGAAACAAAGATGACTTATTACTTAGTTAATATATGTCATTTACAGAAGAGGTTAAGGCTTCAGTTATTATGTCATGGTCTTGTAAACGGTCACTTCAGTAATTAACACATAAATATTCAGGTAGTTTGGTTTGATTTGATCAAACATAAGCGATTTAAAAATAGCTGTATATGAACGTTTACTTAAATATTCGGACGGATTATGTTGAATCAGAAAAACTGAAAGGTCATTGTCAAAGAAAGAACAAGGTGCATGTTTCATTCAAAACCTAAAAGATATGAAAACGATTGTGTCACATCCCCTGTGTTTACCAATTGAAATGTGTGTGTGGTCACACATAAATAGGGAGGAGCAATCGTAATCTTAACATTAGGGTGAGTGAACATGTACCCAAATGGCTGCAAAAACAAATACAATCAAGTGACCCAATAAGAGCAGAGGATAAACATCCATCATCCTCTATTGCTAAACATATAATTGAAACAGGGCACAAGATTGATCTAAACTCGGCTTTTGTGGTACAATATAAAAGTGTAAAAGGGCGTATACTAAGGTTTATTGAAGCTTTAGCCATACGAAAATTCAAACCCCCTTTGTGTATTCAAAACAGTTTGTTCTTACCTTAAAACTACCCTGGTAATATTGACTTATTATCCAGAGTGATTAGGTTTTGAATTGTGTTCAGATTATTATTATTATTATTATTATTATTATTATTATTATTATTATTATTATTATTATTATTATTATTATTATTATCTCCTCTTACCTCATTTCCAGTCTAGTTGACCTTTTATTTTTTTATATAAATGCTCTTAACAAGTATATGTGTGATCAGATTGTTCGAAATGTATTGCGCTAATATATCACATAGTTCTGATAATGTCCGTCTTCTTATTACATTATCGAAATTTATAAAAGGGACTAATTGCTTTAAAAACCGAAAGGTTAACAATGTATGTGTTGACATTATAAGTCCAGATATGAATATTGTAATGAAAACAGATCTTGGAAACAATTAGACTATCAACCATTTTTTACGATGACGTCTCTTAAACACTACAAATCAGTCAGTCAGTAACAACGCAGAACTTCATACGTACGTACATTATCTCGAGTTGCGATCCCGTAGTGGTAGAGATAGCAAAAGTATAAACAGTAATCGCAAACATTAGGGTTTGAAGATGTTATTCAAGGAATATAATCAAGTGAAATAAATTTGGAGAGAGAAAAAAAATGGACATGAAGAATTCAGAAGATTAGGATTTGGGAGAACACATAGAGTGGATGCACCTGAGCCATTGCAAACGATTTTCAGACATGTCATTTAAGGTCTCTAACAAACGGTTGCTATTATCTCGCAGATCTCAACTACGTAGTCTACACCTATCAACATAGTTCAGTCCACTTGTCAGTGACTTCATGGACTTGTGCCATGTTTTGGTCTGACCGCCCCTAGCTTTCTTCCAACCTACTCCTACACCATAAAACACCCCCACGTCGGGGCACTCGATGGTTGGGCATGCGTAACACGTGTCCCAGACATCGCAACTGATGAAGTTTCACTACTTCATCAATTGATTCGTCATCCTTACCTAGTACCCGTTTCATAACAACTGCATTACTTACTCGGTGGTCCCAGGATATATGAGCAATGCTTCCAAAACGCCTATGATCGAATACTAGTAACCTACGAATATCCTCTACTCTTACTGGCCATGTTTCACTGCCATAAAATAGGATGGAACGAACTGCTGCGCAGTAAACCCATCCTTTGGTTGGTAGACGGATATCTCGCTTGCTCCATAGATGACGCAAGTTGGCAAAAGCTAGTCGAGCCTTCTGTATCCGTGCTGAGATTTCGTCACACACCAAACCACAAGGGCTGATGAGACTTCCGAGATAAGTGAAGCAGTCGACACGCTCAACTACTTCACTCCCTATCATTAGTTGGGGTGTCGATGCCACCCAATCCTGAAGTAACATTTTGCATTATAAATAACAGTAGTTAATAAATCAATAGCGAATGTTTTGGATTGGTTGTGGGATTTTTTTGAAGAACAGTCTAGCACGAGTGAAATAAATTATAGGACGTAGAATACGTAAAATACACATCGAAGGTACTGTATAAGCTATATCAAACATGCCAACAGCTTATTTTAACTTTGTAAAAAACGAATATTCAATGTGGAATCTATAATTACTTTGTCATTGAACAGTGACCACTGTCATTTATGTACGGTCATGCTCAAAGATAATCGAATTCTTTAGATCAAGTTGTAGTATGGTCACTAGTCTAAGTGACTCAACATCGGGTGCTTAGTTTCAAATTCATAAAAGATGTCACTGAGATAACCAGACCACGACTGACCCCTTGTAAGACTGAGATGTATTTACAGTTGTTTAATAAGTGATTAGTGACCAAAGTCATCAGTCCCCTTAAGATGCAATGTTTTGTAAATGCATGTCAAATTGGGTAATTGAGTTATCACCAATATTCTAGGACTATCATTCCATTCGTTGATATATAACTTATTAACAATCTTAGTTTCAAATTCATTACAAATTTGTCTTTCAAACAACTCAATTTTCTGATGAACAATTCGCTGCTTAATTTACAAATACGTTAGTATTTCAAAATAACTACATTTAATGGTTTGTGTTACCGAAGAGAGAGAGCAACGAAGAACTGCAGTAAACACTTAAAGAAAAAGCTAACAATGAACCTTAGGTATGATCCCAAAATATTGAGAGCGATTAAGAAAAAGGGAAAATACATTAAAAGCATTCATAACGTGGACAGATAAAAACAAGCGTGAGTTTTTAATATCCTCAGTCACGAAGGTCATGCACACCCCTACAGCGCATCTCCAAACAACAACAGTAATACGGACAAGAACAAGTGATTGAACCAACAATATTTTTATACAAACAATGTTTACTGGCAGGAAAATCGAAAATATGAGTTTGAGTCATTAATGATGTGGAGCAATGTGAAAAGTATGACATTGAAATGCAACGGTAACGTTTATTCACTTATGGAGCAATGGAATTATGTACTGAACATATTTCATAGGACTGTTAAATATGTGTTTTCAGTGACCCATCAACTAGTCCCTAACTTGTTACTTCCCTCTCTACAAAGGCGGACAATATATAAAAGTTACATGATAGTTATTTATAACTTACGAAAGTAGGTTGTTGTTTGATGAAGTGGTAGATAATTTACTATGGGTACGGAGTATTCTAACGGTAATGACGTTTACTGACAAATCAATAAACAATAAACTCTATTGATGGAAATTTAATCATAAATCGAAAAGTAGTTTACTTTGATCACACAGTCTAAAGACATAAACGGAACGTTTGTCAATAAAGTTGGGGAAACCATGGGGTACTTATAGTCATATCTGTTTAGCGCAGCAGAAAATTAGATTTGGCTGAATGAATACTCACATTTTCCTAAGAAAGTAAAAGATATTTAAAGTCTGCAGAATTTTGATCATAGGTGTCTTAGAAACGTTGCCCATGTACCACGGAGCAATCACTCAGGCTATGGTGAGATTAAACATAGAGTACTAGGTAAAGACGATAAATACGTTGGTAAAACTGTGAACCTTTAACGACTTAGGTGACTGGGTCCAGTCACCGTTTACCCCGACACAGTGCTGATTAGTGTAGGAACAGATTGGAAGAAATCTGTCGATGGCCAAAGCAAGACGTATCTGAAGTCACTGACTGTTGGTATGATCTGTGTTGGTAAGTGTAGACTACTTGGTTGGAGTCCTTGATATAACCACGATTAATAGTTGGGAATGTTTAATGAAATGCTTCAGATCGGTTACAATGGTAAAGATGCATTCATTGTTCCTATTCCTGAAGATATTAAGTCTTATCATTCCTTCGTGTACGCTTTTTCATTTTGTCTTCATGGACTGTATTCTCAATACAGTATTTTTTTACTGACACTGTTGCCAAGACTATTCTAACCCTCTTGGTATTTATCTTGTTAGTTTCATCTCGTTGCCCTGAAATGACAATCTGAGCTAAACCACACCCATGTTAGGCTCTATGTAGATTATGGCTAGTTGACTTTTCTTAAATATCGAATACTTCGAGTACTAAAATGGATCTGATCCCTAGCACTTTTAAAATTAGTAGGCAATACAAATGGTGTTAGAATGTTAGTGAAAAGACACACGTGACTCAGTGACCACGTATAAGTTTCTATGCTAGACTATCGTTACAGTGTCCATATAATGTATCAGGGAAAGGGTTAACATAATACAACTAGACACTAAACCACAAATATGAAAATATCAGATTTGATTTTAGTTAGTGTAGACAATATATTCATCTAAAAATAAGTTAATCGGTTAAACTAACACTACTAATCATTATGTATAGTTCAATTTTATATTACTCAGTAACCAGTTTATTCATTTTATCAATATCAGTAATCATAGTAACAAGTCATAATGAAAAAAAACCAGTATAGTGACAAAAAATTTCAGTAACCTCAAATTTTGCTAGTTATACTAAATGATGTCACAGTCTGTTAAATTAGGTCATCATCCTAGTATTGAAAGTATGATGAAAAAACAAACCTACAATACATTATTGTAAATTAATTATTGTCATAATTATTACTGATAAAAATATAGGTGTTTAATTTAATTTACATGCGTAACAGCTAAATCAGTCTTGGTTTTAGTTTCAGATGCAGCTGTTTGTAGGAGATTTGTTAGTAAATTGCCTCGACCACCTGGAAATACTATGTCATCACCACTGACACCACAAACACCACCATGTTCATTATCATTGGAATTATGCTGTTGATTAAGATCACGTAGATTTTCTTCAGTTAAATGTTCTGTACGACGTAATGTGATGATTTGTACATTCGATGCACAGTATACCTTAGAAAAAAATATAAAAAAGATAACAACTATAAGTGGTACAGAATGATATTCATATTTGGCTTTAACTATTAATTTCTCATTTCTTTCGAAATAGGCGGTTTATAATGCAGTAAAATATATTCACAAAGTAGAAGTATTTTTCATTCTATGGTATGTTATAGACTACTTATGATTGTCATCACGATTTGTTTAACCGTTATTAGATTGACAAATTAATTAAGAGTTTTATAAATAAGAGCTATTATTTGGGCTATCGATATGAACAATACAAAATGATTGAATTTACCATAATGATAATCTCTGTTTTTACATGATACAATTCCTTACAACTCACAATTACTCATATGAATTTAATTACTGAAAGAAACAAATATTGTAGGAAGTATACTATCTTTACTAAGAGATTGATACTCAAAGTTAATAAATTAACATGTCAGAAGTATCAACTCTACTTTATGCGAGGTAGAAGGGCTGATTTTTGTCCCATTCGTAAATGTTTCTTATCAGTTTGCGGATTAAACAACTTCAAGAATCAATGAAGAAATGTCACTACAATAACATGATCATGAGTTACATATGTATTCATTGTACAAAAAAGTTAACACAATAAATAAGAATATATGTTTTTTTTACAAAGTAATATCAAATTCATTCATAAATATTTACAATAATAACACACTATTTAGTAAATTTCATATACATTGAAAGACTGAACTTTCTCAAAAGAAAACTTTTATAAAAACTGATCATGTAAATGTGTGTTCTGTATAAATGTCTGCATTTCATCACGATATAATGATGAGATTAATGAAATTTAGATATAATTATTACTTCATCTACATCATTTTGTACACATAACCTTAGTGTTTTTTTTTGTAATAAAGAATTTAATTCACACCATAAATGATATTTAAGTTATTATTAACAGAAAATCAGATGGATGGGTATAAGGCAACTTATTTTTAAAAATAATACTACTAACAATTGAAAACAATCATACAATACAATAATAAATTAATAATACAATCTTATCGGCGGCCTGCTTGAATATCTGGGCTACCTGTTCCTCCCATCTAGATATTTCGTCAAGTTGTCTGTTTTCTTGTTTGTTTTAACACACTATTATGTCTATTGAGCTCACAAACTATTCAGGCGCGTTTATGAAAAGTTGACAATCTTTCGCTGTACGGATTACAAAAAGGTACAACCAGCGACATCATGGTGGTTTGCAATATGCATTGAAACGAATGAACATTATTCAGATGTCGATTATCGAACTCCTAACATTTAACTGGCCATCACTCAATATTTATCGTCAGGATCGATCAAGATATAAGTAAAGGAAACTTGTTGAAATACTTTATGCTGAGAATTCAATATTGTACCAAAAATATAATGTTGAATAAAGCTTATAATAATAATAATATCAATATTATTATGTTGTTATTACGTTTATTTACTTCACTTATAAAATTGATTGATATATAACAATATTTGTAAATGAAATCAAACGAAAATACGCTTGTGTTAATGTCAAACTAATAAGTTAATTGAGTTTATTGTAATGTAGTGAAAATTCCCATTTTTGATATTTGGTAAATAAAAAACAAATGAATCGAGCTTTTAAAGGTATCCACCATATTCGGTTAAATTTGCTACATGATTTACAAGTTCGTTTTTTGTACATAGCTGAAGCCATTGGTATCCATGTTCACAAACTAAACTTTTGCATACAAAAGAAGTTTGTACAACCACTCTTGTTACTTTGGCTATCGGTATAGAGAAGTTTGCAGTGGAACTTTGATAAACTAGTTTCGTATTTCTTCCACTTTTTGTATTTTACTTATTTTCAACACTCGTCTCTTGATTCTTACATAACTATTATTGCAATGTTCTATGATAATTAGCAACGGCCTATCCCCTTTGTTACTAAAATCTTAATAAAATCCATTCTTGCTCATTCTGATAAATCTCTCAATGTTGCAGACAGAGTAGTATCTTACCACAGTTTTATGAAACTGACTTTTTTTCTGTATATTTGATGAATAGTGTATGGGACCCAATGTATATATAAATTTAAAAACAAACGTGAACTCACTATTTGAAAATTAAACTACCTTTTCTTAATAGTTCAAAATAATCTTAAGCTCCAAACTCTACAAATGCTGAATATTTGTTTCATCATTAATTTTTAATATGTAGATAATTAAACTGGATAATTTTTATTTGTTTTACTAAAATTAATAGGTTGCTTTATTCACAGTTCTTTTAATCTAGTTCGTTTTAGTAATTGAATTATGCATAAACTACATAAGACAGTGTTAAATTTGTATTGTTATTTGAAATGCATTAGAAATACTTACTAGTTCGAAGAAACATTTATCAGTTATTTATATAAAATATATTGAATTAATAAGCAAATGAATAAAATAGAATTGATTAATAATTGCTTTTAATTTAACCTACTTGACAAGGATGATTGTTAATAGTTTCTTTACGATCAGATCGCCAACCTAAAATTCCCGATTTACTTCTGCATGTATAATAAACACAGACAAACATACCAATAAGTATACATGTATTGATAACCAATAAAAAAATGTTTTAACTGGGGAAATTAAGAAACAAAATAGTAAAATATGAACTAAGTAGACAGAAAAAAAGACAACCATTGATTAAAAGAAATATTTAAATTGAAAAACTTTCTATCAAGAACAAGTAACGAATGGTGGTCAAAATTTAGTCAACTAAAAATTATTGTACACAAATGATCGTTATTTATTAGATTATAAGTGAGAAATAGCAATATGGAAACCATTACAAGCAGTATATTGAGAAATACTAATTAAGTAAATAAATAATTCGATTAGTTAATTTATCAAACAGGTATTAACCATTTCATATAAAAACTCAGTGAAGCTTGTTTTGTAACGGTTAAAAATGTTGGTTATATCTACACTGAAGAATCTAAATGAAATAATATTCAATTTTTTGATAATTCATAATTTCAAATACGGATTTTCAAATCAATGAAGTACAAGTCCTCATAAAGTTGCATAATCATATGCTTGCGTCTTATTATTTTTTAGCTAGTAATCACTACAGTAGCTAAGATAGATTTATTCAACCAGAATACACGGTTCGCTTATTTAACCAATATATTTAGTGTACTTGTCTGAACAATGATTTTACGCATACTGAACTTTTTCTATTCATCTATCCATACTATTTAAGATTAAATGAACTGTGTTCTACATCAAACCATGCACAAATCTTTGATATAGTTCATTATCCGAATACAGGCTAATGAACTTTTGTGAGTGCTAGTAATACCATCCGATTGTCCAAACGGAAATTAAGTAAGATTCAAACTGCCGACCTACTGGTTAAAGGTCAAGCTATTGAACGACTCTAAGTCTATTGACCTACTAGAAGATGGTCTGTGAATTTGTGCTGCGAAAATATTTAAAAATTAACGTCTTACTGAATAAATTTTGACGATTTACTTAAATAATTCGCTGTGTTTACATCTTACATCTTTTATAGGGATTTAATATTGAACTAGAAACTTTTCGTCAGATACTTTTTTATAAATATCTTCATTTCCCTTTACAATAAAATGTTTTCTTATTCATTAGTATGGGAACGTGTATAAAGCGAATTGTTGAATACAAAGATCACTACAAATTAAACATCAATTTTTGATCTATAAAGACATTTTACTGGAGATTTCGTATTCAGGTGCAATTTCCAGATAACTGAACACTTAATTTTAGCTCTCGATTTGAGATGAAATCCGCTGGGAATTTTCTTTGATATGAGTTGAATATTATAAGAAAACATTCTGGAATCGCAAAGTGTATATCACATATCCGGTTACTTATGGGAATAGAAAAAACATTAAGAAGTGATGAGGTAATTCAATTATGAACAACAGGACCTCTAGTGCTGTTAGAGGTATGAGGTTGGTTTTCATTTCCCGATCGCGTAAACAGTGAAACGATATTTCTTCTTGATGGACCTGGAAAAAAACTGGATCAGTTCTGGTCGTACCGACGTGGTGGTGTGACTACAGTGTGAAAGAAACTGCTTGAAACCGATCACGTGTGGCATTTCTGTGAGAATTTTGTGATATGCTTTACGTTTCAAAAGCCCTTACTAACAAGGACGGAAATTCGTGTATAGGTGGCTTGCGAAATTCTTAAAGCTGAAGCTTTCTAACTTCTTTCCTCTGTTGTGAGAAATGCTAGTTACCTAGGGGAAACAACTTACAACCATCACACCTCAGTACAGGCAGAAGTACGACCTCACCCTAGTCTTACCGTCCCCTAGCTAACCTGACTGACATTATAGGACTTAAAGGAAATATTTTTCCAGCCAATATAACTCGATCAGGTCATTACGATGGGCCGGTTTAACTACCACTTCAAGCTAACAGCTATAGTCGGGTCTCATATAGGATCTGACTGACTGATCACTTATAAAAACTCGTAAAATGTTATAAATATTTGAAGTTTTCGAACATTTTCCATTTTAAAACAAATTGATTGGTAACTTAATCATTGTATAAATCGATCGGTTTAAATGATACAGCTGTAAGAATTTCGTTGAGCTTGACGATACACCTTGCTGACCAATAAAAATGAACATATACCCAACACTAAAACACTACTTGAGTAAGATGATTATAAGTGTAATGTTTTGAAACATTCAGTGGTTCTGTTCACTTAATTATCCATTATATATATATATATATATATATATATATATATATATATATATATATATATATATATATATATATATATATATATATATATATATAACCATACAAATTGATTTTATTTTGGATTTTTGTAAGTAATGGTTAGAAATTTTAGATAACATGGCTTAGAATCATTTGAAATGGAGTAGGTACATTCACTCTTTGTCTTCCTCAGATCTTAAGTTTCTAAATTATCTTATTGTCTTTTATTTCACGAAACCATATTTTCTCGAATCTTCTATGTTTAATTTTTTTTCCTTTTACTAATACTGTTACTACATTTACCACTTTAGAGTTTGGAAGTTTGTAATAAAATCGATAAGTAACAAGTTATTAAGTTGACTTTGAATGAGATTTTTAAAAATAGGATGTTGGAAATTAAATTACGACAACTAATAGTACCATGATAAATTCTATATTTATCCCAAACTAATAGACATCACATATTTTTAACTAAATATTTTACTGGATTTATGAATATTTTCTGTTAAAGATTTTCACTGTGATGTCACACTAACTGCGTATAGAACATCCATATGGACACACACATATAATTAAAACAAGGATATCTTAAATTAGTAATCAATCGCAACAGAAACTGTTAGTCGGTCGACAACTTTATTGCCAAAAGAAACAAAGTATTTTCGGCTAAAATATAAAAGTACCTATTACATGACCAAGAGAACTCACTTCTCAAACTCTATTTTATCTGTATCCAAATATGTAACGAAAATAGGTTGAGTTAATTTGTTTGCAATAGTACTTTCCGAAGGTTCACGTACAAAGAGTTGGGCGGCAGCAGTAGCCGCAGCACCGGCACCACTTCCAGCACCTGGTGTGCTATCCATTCCATCGGACCGACTAAGTAAATTTACGTTATGCCGATAAATAGTTCTATCAGTGTGGTTTACTTCATCCATATATGCTCCAGATTCTAGATAAGCACGTAAAAGTAACATGATAACATATTTTCTTGGATGTGTACACTAATTTCTATTTTACAAGACATTAAACAATACAAGTAAAAAGCTTACATAACTCACTACACCATTTAAACTCAGCTGTGACCATAAAATACTAGTTTAAATGTTTAGTAGCATTTAAAAACAAATATCTTCCTAATCAGAAAACGTATTTGCATAAAACTGCTTAATTTCTCAGTGGATCAACATATTCTTTTCAGGAGTAAACGTGGCGATAATTCCACCAAAAAAATTATATGTAGAGTGAATATTGTTGTGCTTTTAATGTCTGCCAACATTTCGGTCATTATTACACTGACAGAACCTGTGACTAATTTTTATTAACTTAATCAGTTGTTAAATAGTTTCTTTTCACAACATAATACTACTAATTTGTTCACAGTGAAGTTAGTAATGAGAAAGTTGAAATAGGCAACTAGTAACATCATTTACATGTTTTAAACTCTTTGATAATTACTCACAAATATAAAACATAGAATTGCTCTATATCCAAATAAAGAGATCTATTTGACCTCAAAATTGAATATTCGACATAAAACGATAGACATCAATTTATAAAGCTTACTGAAACCAATACGTAACATGAAAATAATTGATATCATACCTCCGGCTCTAAACATATAGCTCAGATGACCACGAACCCATGATGCTGAGCCATTAAATCCCAGTAGATTCGTATCAATTCTAACATTTGATCCACATTTCCATATCCGACAAACATCACTTGGGCACATACGCGATACAAGTGGTACTAAAACGAATTTAAGAAGACATCGACGAGACGCTTTATAAATAAATAAATTTGCGACTTTAAGTGGAGTTTGAAGAAAAACAACTTTAGAAAAATGTACGTTTAGTTAGGTATAATTCACATATTTCGAAAAAAGAACCCGTTTAGTCTTTTGAAAACCTTTAATAAGGTAAGCGTCATGCAAACGTTTACTGAGTTGATTATGACTAAGTTGGAAATAAACTTGATTTCTAATGCAATTCATCTCACCAAGTACAGCTTCATCAGCTAGGTTTTGAAATACACATTTTGTGAGAGGGCTAGAGATACCGGTTGGCTTGAAACTGTGACCTAATGGTTGAAAGTAGTATTTCAATCACTAAGCTACATGACGATAAGTTCGAAAGTTAACAAGTAACAATTCTATTCATTGCAAATAATAAACCGAACAATAAAAAATAATTCTCTATAAAATACCTTTAGCTAAATCTCTAGTGTAAAAATCGCTAACTAAAGCAGATTTGAATACAAGGCTTACTTTTATGATAAAATACTAATATCCCAAAATAAGTGAAACTAGTGCTGATTTTGATTGTTATTTGGTAGATCAATAGCGCTAATATTTAAGCTTAGAAATAATCTAACATTAAGATATCTGTATTTAAATTTGATTATTCAGTCATAATTTTCAATAGGTTACTTGTAAGAGCACATGCACTGAAGCAGAAAAAAGTCTGTTAAAAAATTAATCTCAATATTACAAATACGTATCAATAACATGTACAACTACATTTACTAAGTTACATTTTACAACAAATAGTTTCCTTAGAAGTATTATGATTTCATCAAGCCTATAAAGGTTAGCTACTGAAACGTTATTGATTAGCCGATACATATGTATACAATACAAAGTACCTCAATGGTTTCATCGAAAAACATAATGTGATGAGGATATAATAACTTACGCCAACTAGTGAACTCCCATTTCATTTCAATATAAAAATCGGGGGTTTCTCTGAGCTTCTGTAGCAAATCTGAAACTATAACAGCCTGATGACGAACAATTTGAGCATCTCTATGAACCAAGATTAGTTTAACGAGTTCAGGGTCTCCTGTTGCAATGGCCTCCTGTGTAGCTAAATTTTTGTCGATAAAATCAAACTTCGAAACCAATACCTGTCCAGAATTTACTAGTAGAGACGCAAGCGTTCGCACCATGGCGGAGTAAAACTCGTGCCGATTCCAAATGATCAAGTACAATGCATAACATTAATGGGGTTCTCCCATGAGGATCCAGTTTTTCTATATCATGCTAGTGAAAATGCATTTCGTTAAATTACGCATATCTGTACCTTTTTCTGGTGAAGTAGCTCATCCAAAGCCATATAATCATTATTCCAAACATGGTAATGCAGGGGATATAGTACTTTTGGATCTTCCGTCGTCATTGTGTATTGTAAGAATTAACTAAAAAGAGAGTAGCATCAAAAATATTACGATTGAAGAAGGGTCGTTATAGAGCTTCTTACTTTTTAACATGTTATCCAATCTTGCGTAGATATCCTCTCCTCCCCCAAATACCCTGGTACGGCCGAGAGTGGGGAGAGTCCGCTCTCCCTCTCCAAATGCTCTCACACGGCCACGCGTATACAGCCACTGCCAGGGAAGTCCTACGCACTACCTTCTCGTGGCTTACTGTTGTTTACGAAAATGAGAGGACGAAAAGCGAATGTCCGGCGCTTTAACCGGATCCCAAACCAATGGTACACATGGGCTCTAGTATCCTGAAGGAACAAATGGCGTATGAACCAATCGTTGGTCACCGGCTACCATGGGACTGCATCTCCTTATGATGCTCCACTGCCTTGTGGATCAGACGTTCAGGTCGAAGGCTCGGAGTGTGGTCCCCTAAGAAAACCACCTGCTTCGGTTTGGGCACCCGGGCAGTATCACAGCTCTCACACAAATCAAATGAGATTTGTGTGGCGCATATGTATTTGGTGCCTCCTTGTACCAATATCTATGTGTTAAAATAAATAAAATAAAAATAAGATATCCTCTTCGATTCAAAGCACCCGTATGAACTGGAAAGTTTAGTGGTCGTCTAATACAATGTTTAGGTTTGTAACTCATTATATATATACAGTTTAATAAACGTACAGTCTTTAACAAAATATATATCCTCCTATGATTCTGGTCACATTTATTATGTATCCATAAGACAATATATGATGGCGAAAGCCTAAGTATGGAGGTGTGTATAAGGATGGAATGTAATCGGAACTATTACTCATGCCTGTTACCACTCGTGAAGAAGCATAGGCCACCCACCAGCATTCTCTATCCAACTGTGGTCTGGACAATCCTTTGTAACTGCTATCCATCCTTTTCACATCTGCTTCCAATTACTGACACAGTGTGTTCTTTGGTCTTCTTCTTTTACACTTCCCTTCAGGGTTTCAAGTAAGTGCTTGCGTCGTGATGCATTTTGATCATTCCCTCAATGTGTATCCTATCCACTTCTAGCATCCTTCCCTGATTTCCTCTTCAGCTGGAAGTTGTTTTGTTCTCATAGTAGGCTGTTGCTGATGGTATCCGGTCAACGAACACTGAGAATCTTGCATAGACGATTGCTTATAAATACCCATACTTTTTGGTGATGGCTGTAGTAGTTCTCCGAGTTTCAGCTCCGTACAGTAGAACTGTCTTGACGTTCGTATGGAAGATTCTGACCTTCATATCAGTTGACAGTTATTTTGAGTCCTATATGCTCTTCAACTGTAGGAATGTGACCCTTGCTTTGCCAATCCTCGCTTTTAAGTCTGCATCGGATCCTCCCATCGGAATTGTTGGAGCTTAATAACTCTATAGAAAAAGTCCACCTTGTCACTCAATTTCGATTATTATCAACTAGAAATAGTAGAAAAGTCTAGCATTGGGGTCCAAACTTTATTTGGTGACTGAGATTAATAGCTGATGACTAGAGATAGTGAATTGAAGGATAATTGTGTTGGACTGGCATATAATGGTAGACTGTAACTTCTTAAACGAAATACTAGAGGCAATCTAACTTATTGGATTAAATCGTTACAAATGTACGTCAGAATTACGAACAACAATAACACTGTTGTACAGACACTTTATATTATTCCTGAACAAATAGATGTATATTTAAAAAAGGGACCTTTATAAATTATTTTTACTCAACTATTATGCGTTTAACTTTATGAAATTTTAATTCGATTTATTTGAAATGTCTGTGCACCACATTTGGTTGCAAAGAGGAATAACAAATGTTCAAACAATGTTGGGCTACAAACATGCTTATCAGATATGACTCTTCGAGTGAAAATACCGATAAGCAAACGCCAACACAGAAAAATCTGGGTTTAAAAGTAACTTAGCAATTGATAATGATCAAAAGTGTTCACTAAACATATGAAACTAGCGGACGTAATCGCTAAAGATAAAATTGTTACTTCAAGTCCCGGAGTAACAGGGGTATTAATAGTATCAGTGATGATCGAAAAGATTAGGCATAGAAGATTTAGTTCAAGAAATATAAATTATTGAAATGGAGAAAAATTATGAAGACTTCAGAGGTCTAGAATTTGAAGGCAAAGTACGAATGTACCTGGGCCATTGCAAACGATTTTTAGTCGTTTTATTCATAGTCTTTAAACATTCGTTACGATAGTCAAGCAGACTCCAACCAGGTGCTTTACACCCTCTTACATGGCTCAGTTCAATTATCACTGACTTCATGGACTAATGTCATGTTTGGCTTTGGCCGCCCTTAAATTTTTTTCAGCCTACTCCTACACGAGACAACATAGCCTATCGAGGTAGGTGATGGCTCAGGATATCTAATAAATCTCTCAACTGTTTCAGTAGATAAACACTTACTGCTTCATTAATCAATTTACCATCCTTACAAAGTACCCTATTCCTAACTCAGCTATTGCTTACTCAGTGGTCCTAAAATACACGAGGATGCCTCTAAGACACTTATGATGGAATACTAGTAACCATCAATGCCGATAAGAACCTTAAGAGAAGTGAAGTGATCAATAAGCCCAGCTACTTCATTCCCTATCATAAATTCAGGCGATGACGCAAGACAATCCTGAAGCAACATTTTACATTAAGAGAGATAAAATGGAATCCCAGACGCACCTGCATTGTTGCTTAAGGTGGTCAGAAGACTGTATTTTGTCAGCATTTCATTAGAAATAACTATATCATCTGTGCATACTAAGTCAACAAATAAGAGCATCAGCCCCTGAAAAGTAAGACCACGAAAGTGTTATCTCTAAAAGCATGGCTACGATGAAACCAAACAAAAGTGGGGAATGCAGACAACACTAGCGAACACAACTTGAAGTTATGAATTCCGATGACAGTTTGCCATAATCACTGACTTGATCAGTAATTTGCCTCATAAGTAATACATTTACAAATGTCTTGCAATCAATAACTAATGTAATTTAACGGATTAGTTCAATATACACACCTTAAGAGTCACATCTTGAAATAATTAAAATACCCACACCATATTTTGTTTTCTACATGACATACAAAGAAGTCACATGACTATGTGAAAGCCGTCAACAAACTTTAGTGTTGCCATGGATCTTAGTTGCAACTACTTTTATCTGGTTTTTTATATTTAAAACCAAATTCAAAGATTAAACATTCATGCTAAGATCTGACTAAGTTCTAGGTTTTAATCAAAGAAAGTTATCTCACAAAAAACTCAGTTTTCTGTCTGTATCTTCTAAGGTGTAGTTTAAGACGGCTTATAACTGCTTTCCATTAGCCATAGAAAGCAGATTCGGTGAATGCATCAGCCACATCAGCTATGCGTTGACAACATACATTAACAACTATACTAAACAGAAAGTTCAAAAATAAGAATATGTAATCCATAATAGCCACTGAGAAACCGGACTCTCAGTAAGTAACCGATGAATCTACCGATAACGGTTGATAAACAAATTTTTACATCAAGGAGGCACAGGGCAGACAGTATTGACTGAATAAATAAATTAGTGAAAGTCCATCTAGATTCAACAAGTGTAGGTTTTTGAATCTCAATCAAGCATTTGCACACTGGAGTAATTTTAAGATGTTTGAGAAACGTTGAGTAGATTTTGACAGACAAGAACCAAACGATAAGTCACTTCTTGGTCGAGAAAAAAATCGAAATTACATAGGCTCATTAATGTGATGGACACAAAGTGTAAGGCATACATAACACTCGAACCTCGACCCACTCTTGTAACAAGACGAAGAAAACATCAACGCGAATCATATTTAATCGTAGAATGCAAGCTATGAGCTGGCTTTTTCCCAGTATATAGTCACGTCGTCTTGAAAAACAAGTTTTGAAGGCAAACTGTAGGGGTCTAATCACATTATTTGCAGCGCGAAATGGTTAAATATAGTGAAATACTCAGGTTCTCCATAGTTATCCATTTCATATATATAAGGCAGCATATTCTGCTCAATTTATATAGATTTATTTAAATTTTGTAATAACCAGTACATTTTACATAAAAGATACAGTGGTATCGAGATCACTACTGAAAGTTGCGATATGACTTGTATTTCGACGGTTTGCTCGAACTCACTAGTAAAAGTAACAAAAAACGCAGAACAACAAAACATACCTGCTGGAAAGCCTTTTAAAACTAGGGTTATAGGGCGGTTGATGAAATAGATGCAGTTAAACACAAACTGTATTAACGAACATTTTAGCTTCATCTATATAAAAGATTGTTATTCAGTTGTCTTTCTGAAAAAAGTAGGTTAATTTCATACGTTTTCACTCACTCATAAATAATCTAAGCAAAGTGAATAACAATATTGTTCTAATAGTACAATAATAATACAATATAAATAGATGAAAACTTTTCTCAATCAAAATTTAAGTCTTTATGTCTTTGCTTTTACAATACATACATAAGCTGACAATGCTTTTGCATTCATCCCAGGTATTTTGTTTCGGGTCACACTGAAAGAGATGGAGATCAACAATACACTTGAATGGAGTGAGCTAACTGGTTATCAGAACTTCAGCTTATTACTAATGGCTCGTTTTCAAACTCTCCTTATCACTGAATCAAAGCTACTTTACACTATCCCTACGTTTCTGAGTGCTAGTCAATTCTCTTCCAAAAAGTGAACATCTTGCATTCAAAGTGACTACTTGATGAAAATATTCTAGTAGTTTCACTTAACTTTCAACAAATTTAGTGCTGTAGCTGATGCTTTTGCTGAGAATTCTAAGTTAGAATTGTAAATTTTATCCTTTCATTGCTATTAATGGGTTCGGCTAATTTTTTTCTACCGTTTCACGGATCGTGTCATTTAGTGAAAAGGATACCTGGCAGGTTAACAGTATTTTCGTTCTTATAACTAACAGTGTAAGAGATCTACAGCTAGTGTACTGCTGATACAAGTTAAGTGCGAACAGTTTCAACTTAGGATTGCAACAAACTACGTTATGTATATTTTGCTATTTTAGGATAAGCGGAGGAATAAGAATAATGAAAATCGTCTCTTAGGTTTTGAATGTCGGCATTTTTTTTTGCATATCCAATACAGTCATCCTGAATGCGTCTTTTGTCCCAAGGCAGTGATGAAAAACCGATTAGCCCTTAAAACTTGGTGTTTTTTCACACTCAGTGAGAACCAGGATGGTTTGTAAGTTGTCCTTGAATCCGTCATTTGGAACTGTGATGAATTAGGCGTGAGAATAGCCTGAGTCCTCTTCGAAATGATCACGTGTTACGAAAAGATAGGCGGCTTATGGGGGTCGAACGTTCAGCTTATGTTCTTAATATCTGACTACCCCCATTTTCTCTGCGTCCATTGTATCCCTAGTATCTTAAGAATTGTATGTCTAAATTTGGTGCTACTAAATATCTAGACACTAGTGTCATTTGTTGGTGAAATTTAATTTTGTTGAAAACATGAATCTTTTAGAGACAAAATGGGATACCGAAATGAGTAATTAAAAAAATATTTTCCGATTCAGTTTTTAACTTTATCCGGTCTTCAACAAACCATTAAAGCAAAGCGGTTTTGCCTGAATGGAACTTTAGCAGTTCAGATGGTAGGCTAAACATCACGTCTCACCTTCCTGTGTCACAGGTCCGTGCTGGTCCAAGAAGCTCCTTAGACGTATATGAATCCTCAAAACAGATAGTGCCACAAGTCTTCGACATTGATTATGACGTCATCATTTTTGCTGGACACACCCAACTAAAGGAACTTGGTCACGTATCCTTTACATGTATGTCTACGCTATGCTGCTTGTCCGTTGCAACTGCAAAGACCAAACACGCCTTGACATATCTTCAGCAAAGTCGATGCAGCAGGTATCGATTTTGCTGAAAGGTTCTGTGATCAGTGAGCTTTCTGTCCGGGTACCCCGTAAAGACTTCGTAGGTTTGTGTACAAGATTTCAAACTTGTTCATTGGAATAAACTAGCTGCCTTTTCGATCTTCAACCTTGTGTACGTTCCTAAGTGCCCAGTTCCCACTTTGATCTGATTGCTTTAGTGAAATTCTATATCTCCTTCAGGCTCTCATCCCTGTCAGAAACAGATGCTCACCTAACTTACTAACTGAATATATCATATTGTTCGGATTATGTATCAATATCAGAACCTTTAAAAAATGTTTTAGCGAATAATTCCTTTCACAGTTGATCACCGCTAACCGATTCAAATTTTCTGTTATTGTTTAATGGATGTAGATGCTAATTAATATATTTGACTTAACTAACTAAGCTATATAATCTTACTATCCACAAATAGTACTTCTGTTTCGTTGCAATAAATAGTCGCAGTTGTTTCAAAATATGACAAACCTACTACATAAAAGAGTTTATTTTGAAAGGTTCAAAATTAACAGCTAAATTAAAATAGGAGTGAAGGAAGCGAACGCAAAATTCTTAAGCAATCCTGAAAATGTTAGTTTCTGAATTTCAGTGATAAGTGCGATGATACGCGATTGGGCTACTTCAATACCAATAGATTGGAAGTAGCAGATCTCTGTGTTTATTGTGATTTTTATGGATGCTTTATATTTTCCTTTGTGAGGAACTTGCTGCCATTTACTTTAAATAACATCAGCTAGACTTTAGTTGTTTCATAAGAGCTGTGTTAAAAACTGTGGTTGCCTCAACATTTATCATCTGCTTTCAAAATACTGCAACCATCAAAGCTTCGTTGAACTTATTATGACTCCTTTTATTGTTTCTTTTCACTCCATATGACCAAGGATCTTGAATCATTCAATAACATCAATATTTGAAAGCTGATGAACTGATTACTTTACAGTAGTATTTAAGAAATGTATTGAATGTGCTAAATGATGGTAAGACATGAGACATGAACTGTTTTCAGACTGTGATCCGATATTTTATTTTAATATGTCTCATTGACCGTCAATAAATATTTATATTCACTGAATCTATTGAGTATACTCGTTAGGCTTATGTACAAACCATGGAACAATTTGACAAAATACCACAAGATTTCTTCCATCATCACATAGTGACTTTATGAAACTAAGTAAGACTATCAATAAGCTTAATTCAAGAAGCGTAAAGAAAAATTGAGAAATCAAGTATGCCAAGTACTTTAATAATTATAAACTAAAACGAATGCGGCTCTAAAGCTTTGATGATTTGTAACGTCCATGACTATTAGAACTCTATATTGATATTTGTATAGAAGCAGACTTGACAGATGCACGCCTATTGAGCCAAATAATGAAAACACAATATTTCATTAACCAAGTCGTACTGACAAAAATAGAAATCCATATGAAAAATATGAATAAACAATGCCTGGATCTATACGGTCAAGAAGATATCCAAAAATGACGATAGATCAGTCCATTTTACTCCACAGGTGAGCAGTTAGATACAAGGTAACAATTTTTATGAAAATTCACGAATCGCACATGAGGTAAATAGTTGATTTACTCTTAAATTGTATGATCAAAGTTCTGGATAGAAACATGTTTTTTAAGAAACAGGAGACGTGACTTCTATTCCTCAAGGATAGTCATTCTAGCGTATCAAGCAGTAACAATCAAGAATACAGTCGCCTGGCATGGCAGCCACCAATGTCAAAAGGCTAAGTAAAGCAGTAAAGTAATGATGGACAACCTTTACGACATCAAAGAGTTGATCACAGCTAAGAGATCGTAATTAATATAATAGTGGTATTTGTAAACGAAGAGAAACGTAACAACAACAATCGAAGAAACTATACATAAAGAAGAAAACTTTGAAAATGTCATAATGAGAAACATACATGGACAGATTTTCTCACATGTTAATACGAGAACATGTAAATTGATTCTACAGTATTAAATATTCAATGTGGAACAATTGCAAAAGAAACCTAGAAAGAGATTCGTTTTTACGCGATAGCGTCAATAGCAAGCAAGTATGTTTTTATACAAACATGAGGTGTATATTTTACGTCACATACAGCTAAGATTGAAGATGCCACAGGTATTTGGATTTTGACAACTCTTTAACCAGTAACACCTTCTACTAGGAATCGTACCCACCAAGTGAAATCAAAAGACAGAAGCGAGGAGGTTCAAAGATATATTTGATAGGCTGTCAGTATATTGAGGGTCGACTGGCTGGTGATTGCAGGGGATGTTGAGCACGGCGTTCTCACTTGTGATCTGGTGCGAATGCTTCAGCTAGGTGAGTTCATTAAAACTAATGTGGTCAGCATCCAATGTCGGAGACTTACAGAGCTATTGATCTTGGGGATTTATTTACCGCCATAAGATTTTATCTGAACGACCTTGTAAACAATATCGTGATCTTCATACTTGACAATGTGCATGTTTAGTTTCTGTCTTTGAATTTATTTGTGTTGTTTTTGTGATCTCCGACTTTATCTTCCTGCTCATCATTGCCTGACGGACAGCAGATTAGAAGTTAAGTGAATTTTAAGTGTTGGAAAGATATTTTTCGCAAATACATCTTCACCGCAAGACAATTTACGTACAACTTACCACAGTGTTGTGACTCAAATTATTTAGCCATCTATTACAACAGCGTAAAACTAGACAAATAATGTGGTGGGCGAGTTATTCAAAGGTTTTTAGTTATTTCGTATATCTTTATATCTGTGTCCTTGTTCATTTCTGTAATCGTACTGTATTAATTCTCCTGTTATAATTCTTAGCAGATATATATATATATATATATATATATTTAAAGTATAAAAAATTTAGCTACATTTCTTATTTGGCTTTCTTAATACCACCGTGGCCTTAACGGGGTAAGAAGTATCATGGACTAAATTAACTAAGAGATCAATAATGCATCCACTTGGAATCCGATGTCCCATCACAATAGCGATACACGATGTTAACTGTTCAACTAATGATCCAAGCTGAATGATAGTCTTATATCCAAAAAATAAAAAAGTCCATTGAAATTTTGTTATGCCATTAAAATATAATACTATTTGCTCAAACTATAATTAGAAATGTGTAGATCACCAACGTAGGTGATATTCAGAAAGTGATTGAGGGCCTACTCGAGTTCGGCAGGAATGGGCTGACCAATGAACTTACGTCGAAGTCATATCTCACGGTTAATACACAACGTGAATTATCGTTTAATCGTATACAGGTGCTATGGCTACTTAGATGACCGTACAACACAAACAATGTTATTACTGCCAAATATTAGTACGATTAGGTACAAAAAAGATTAGGACTTTTACCGCGTGAGCCAGTCCATGGATTGTAACTGAGCGACGTGCGTTGGTTGTCCTAACCCTTGACGAGGATTGATAAACTTTTCTATATCTAATGACCCAAATGCCGGATGATTTGGCTAGGGTCTAGTAACATTTCACTGGCCTTAAAAACGGGTTATAGCTCCGGAATAATTTTCTATAATTTTCCAAGTTTAAAACTAAAAATTCAAATAATACCATATGATATTTTTATCTGTAATATTTGATAATTCCAGACAATATTCCCACAGTTATATTGACACCAAAAACAATTATGTCAAAAAATACACATTCATAGTTTTATATTTAAGGAATACAAATAATACATTAATTGAAATATTTACAGAAGTTATTTATTGCATACAAATTATTATTCGTTTGTTGCCAGCGTTCCTAATATCTATAACCTTGTGTTTATATAAAACAATCACTTCATTATAAAAGTAAGAAATATTTGTTCAGAAAAGACACTACGAGTTCTCCAAGTTTCTTTTGAAGTTTTAAGACAATATATTGTCACTAGTAACGAATAATGTTAAAGAATGTATTGGCAGACTGAACTATGTATGTGATAGAATTTATGGGCAAGACTCATATATTCCAATATATGAAGAAAGGGATTAGTAATAAAAACTAAAGACTGAGGAGGGGGAGCACTGATGCCATAAAAATGAAGCTTCCAAGGTTTTTAATTGCCAAGTCGTGATTATGAGTAATAAAATGTAACTAATATCTTATATGATAAACTATTCGGTATCACTGTGGTGTGTGCTACTCATATTGATATAAGTAGAACCAACTAAGTGTATTCTTTGTTAAAATTAGAGCATTTTATTACTATCAGAAAGGTGATCTTTGAATCACTGCAGCTTAAGCAAAACATTAAATCAAGAAAGCACTTAAAATACGAGAATTACATTTTCATAAATATAGAACAAAAATATTAAGACTGATGTCGGTGTAAAAAAACTCCATGTGGTTATACACATCCCTTAAATTCATGGGAAATAATACCTTAGTTATATGTGTTTTTCCTTGATTAGTACTTCTTTAGAAAACACAGTTTTAGTGATTACGAATGATTATTATTTATGATTAATATGATCGGACAATAAAAAAAAAGACATAATACTTAGATATAATCATCGCTTACTGTGTGTATCATGATCTTGATAATAGTCAAACAGATCACATGACGTTCTAGAGCAATATGGTAAGTCGTATGTAAGTAACGGCAAACTATAACGAGTAAAAAGATGATTCACACAACCAAAATTATTATTAATGTGTTCCGATAACTACACATGAGTTAAGAAACAACGCATATTTCCATTAAATTTTTGTTTACTTTTTTGTCCAGCTGGGTTGATTAGGTGTTAGTTGTGAGTACATTAAGTAAACCAGACATCAGATTATAATATTTCCACAGAGCTTTAGAAATTAATGCTTTAGTGGGAACTACATGAATCATATCATATCACGTACTATCACAAGACCTTCTGCCACAGCTACACTTCGGAATATCATAGAACGAGCTTAAGACAGTCACATCTATTTGTCTTTTAGTCGAAAGTCCATTTACACTATAAAAATAAAATCAACTGACAGCAACTTATATAATTCCATTGACCAACTTGGTGAATTTATGAAATGACTTTTCCACCTAGTATATTTACCCATTTTTGCTTAGAAACACTCAACTTTATTTTCATTTCTATTGTTCTGATTACCATTATTCGAAATATGACATATATTTGAATTCGCAGAAAAGTTTAGATCTTAGTCATAAGATATGGTAGTCATAAAAAAACATCAAACAACTGAAATGAAAACCTAACCAACAACCAGATTTCTTAATTTTCCAGGTAGACAAACTGATTGATAATCCAAGGATGCTTATTTAAACTACTATATTATCGACACATCTATTTCCTCTCAGACATTTCCTTTATGTTGATGGACGAGTTTGCCAGCATAAATAATTTTAAACAAACCCGTTGTTATATTTGTTTATTTCTCCCTAGTCTGGTAAAAGAGAAAACTATTCAACAAATGAATTATTGCGAAACATCCAACGGCCTAACTCGAAAGTGGGCTACTGAAATGATGTTCATAGATAATTTATGGTTAATTCTCATAGCAAAAATCTGAAATGGTGAATTAAAAATGGTTTTAAAAGGTGTTTTAATGCTTCCTAAGTTTCATTTTTTTGAATGTTTTACTTATACAAATAAAATCTAGTTGTCAAACTATTTCACAGCAGCACTTAATCCATTCTGTGTCAGTGAACTTTAATTCATAGTGTACCATGAGAACTTAATCAATATATTGGTAATTGTTATTTCAGTGGGTTATGTTATATTCTAGAAAAGATTAAATTACGAGTAACTTCTGAGAATTATTGATGGGCTATATATATATATATATATATATATATATATATATATATATATATATATATATATATATATATATATATATATATATATTCCTATTGTATAACTGATCAGTAACTTGATTATGTATATCTATATTCATCTTATTATAAGCTTTATTTTGACTTATGGATTATTATTGTACTGTTTACTGTTCTTAGGTTATGTTCAGCTTATTGCTACAGTCTCCTACGTTCAAGGACACTTTCTGGCTTGATCTTGTATACATATTATTTCCTATTTTATGGTGTGATGCGGTCTGTTTGGCTGGTATATAAACCAAGTATGTTTAAAATAAATGATTCGCATAGTGGGATCTGTAATTGGTGTTCTGGACTCAAATGGACGGGCTAGGCGAACGAAGGACTAATAAGGATGCTAGGCTGCTCATATCGGTCGAACGTCATTGGTTTGACACAGTAGTAAGATTAGATAAGTCGTATATCGATTGACGAACAAATCACGTGATAACCAGGCGACCTTAAAGTCACAACAGTTTATGAATGTGCAAGATATATTTTCAAACGTAAATCAATCTAATATACTGAACATCCATTAAAACAGTTTTTCAATTATCTTAAATTCTCAACTATAGACAGTATATTAACAAATAGAATAAAATAGAACATAGTATTATCTTAAAACTCTCCATTTGTGCACACTTTTATTTTTCATGCTTGTTATATTTTGTTATAATCGTAAAACGTCAAACAAACAAAACAAAATAGTTGAATAGAAAATCAAAGTGAAAGTCAACTTAATATATTCTTCATCTATTTATTGATCTATTTATAAGAATCTGGGTTCAATGATTTCATTCACTCATTCAATCATTATTATCAACTTTTGTTTTATAATAATAAAGTTTACATTGATAACTTATGTATTATAATCAAAATAAATTACTTAAAGTTATTTAAAAACTAATTCAAAATTATATATATATATATATATATATATATATATATATATATATATATATATATATATATATTTGTTTATATTCTTATAAATTGAACACTGAAATGATCAAATTTAATGATTGAAATGCATTGAATAATAATAAGAAGAATAAGTTTATGATTTTAATTTTTTATAATGAATTACTGCATCAGCTACATTTAAACCTAATTCAACTAATTCAACAATACATACAAATGTTAATCCAATCCATATACTTAATAAACCACCAATTTGACTAAATAATGAAGTTAATGATACAACAGCTTTTTCTTCAACACGTTCTAAATCAAAATTTGGTCGTGATATTATAATAGATAAAAAATTTTGTTCAAATATTTGTGTATTCATAAGCATTTTAATAGCTTCTTGTAAATGACCTTGTTTAGTTAAATTAGAAATTATTTCATAAGGTTGTAATGGTGTACGAATTTCTTCCATACGTTCATTAAATATAGTTAATGTTTCATTATTTGTTGATTTTAAACGTGAATAACCGGATGCTTCCATTTCTTTTATAAACTATAAAAGATAATTCAATGAATTATATTAAGAATAATTTGATTTTATAAAATAAATAAATAAACAAATAAACATAAATTTCGAAGCCGTAAATATGTGAAGTAAGTAGTATAACATGTTAGTTAAAAATCAATCTTTGTTTCAAGTTATTTATTTCCTAAGTTTAATTCATGTTGAATATATTGTACATCAGTAGGAACTTTGTTTTATTGTCTTGCTATTTGATAGTGATTCATGTAAAGTTTTATCAATATATAAGCGGTTAACACAATTTAAGAATGAAATGATTTCTTTGAATAGCATTTATTCTCAGTTATTTCCGTTATTTTACAACTTTGGTAAGACTATAATTTATGGACGAACCAATCACGTATAAGATAACAGGTCTGTGATTTTGGAGCGAATATCACTCATCCATTTGGCTAAATAGAGTTTTAGCAATATAGCTTATGTCAGTTCGTGATGAAAACCCTGAATCTAATTTCTAAGCTTAATTGTCAACTGTAAATCATAATTCTAATCCGTCACATTGTTTGATAACCCATATTTCATCCTAGTTATTAAGTGGAAAGTCTCAGCGTCACTCTAGAGTCCCTCAAAGATCGTCCATAAATTATAGTCTCACCACAATTTCCTAAAGTTAATGTTGTAATGAATACTAATGCGACGACCGATAATTGAGCTGAATAATCTGGTTTTAATTACATGGAGAGTTAGTGACATACAAACTAACTTCCCTCAACTGCCTATATCGATTCGTCATGTTAATTTTTGTATTAATATTTTGTGCATAATTATGTCAGTTTAATGCATAAAACTACCTATTCTTTCAGTTAATGCATTTGTCTTTAACTTAAAATCATTGAAGATGAAGGGATTAGTCAATAAATTATCTTCGTGAGTAATTATCATTCAGACATACTTCGTATTACTGGATATAATCTATCAATTAGCGTTACATTTTTTTGTTTCAACAATCAAATATTGAGTTCAGAAAATGATTAAAACTATAATTCGTAATACACATGAAAATGATTAACTATATGGTACTACGAATATAGATTTATTTCTTTTGAATCCTTTCATTAAGTTCACAGATAACTGTAAAAAAAGGTTTTCTTTAGTAATATTAAATTGATTGTACACTGTTATATATATATATATATATATATATATATATATATATATATATATATATATTTATATTTATATATATATAACATACAAATAACCAGTATTTTTCACTGCAAAGTTATCTAAAACATAGAAAATAGAAATAATGTTGTTAAGCTCTAGAAAATCGAATGATTATTTTATAATACGCAATGCTTTCTTTACAATTAATGAAACTAAGAGTGTTTCTACCTTAAAAATTTTTTTTTCTTTTGACCTTTGATTTTTGTTTTCATTATTTGATGGTTTTCCTTGTTACTTCGCTGATTTTTCTCTAACACTAATAATCGGTTATTAGTAAAGCAAAATAACATTTATTCTAATTAGCTTATCTTATCCAAAATATGAATCATTTTTAGCTTATTAGCTTTACATTTCATCTTTAATTACATATATTATGTAGACATTGCATGATCCTAATTATTATCATTTATATTAGATAACTAAGTAAAAGAAAGTTTATGATTACATTACACTGGTTATTCTGTGTTCACGTTTCCCTATGAAATAACTATATATATCGACTAGTTGTAAGACCTACTCTATAGATTCATTGTTTGCAATATCTAAATACTGATTGTAAAAATTGTTTGGTTTACCACATAAATAAATTAGATATTTTCTTAGACAGTTCAATTTTCTGAAATGTACAAATTTTAAACTTTTTGAATTAATAGTTCAATTCATGAGTTGATTTAAACTAGACCACCACTCAAAACCTAGAAGCACTGGATGGCCGTTTCGTCCTATTATGGGAGTTCTCAGGAGTGCACATCTACGATTCCGCACACGAAACTCAAACATAGAACCTTCGGCATACAGATCTACAGGTTAAACCGAATGTTCTGGGTTCGAGTCCTACGTACGAGATCGTGGATGTGCGCTGCTGAGGAGTCCCATAATAGGACAAAACGGCCGTCCAGTGCTTCTAGGTTTTCAGTAGTGGTCTAGTTTAAAATTATTCATGAATCCAACTATTAAATTAATAGAATCTCCACAAAACCCCCATTCCAATAGTAATAATGTGCTCACTAGTGACTGACTTCAAGAGATATTTCCTGGAGTTTTAGTGAGAAACTGTGACCAGTAGAATCCAATCGTTTCTGTTGTGAGGCAGTTACTCACTGAAGACAATAGAAGGTGGCCACATAATCTCATGGATTGACTGTAGTTAAACGTTAACACATTTGGATGCCGGCCCAGTGGTCTAGAGTTTTAGCATTCACGAATGAGATCGAAAGTCCAAAGTTCAATTCCAGCAATAAGAGCCCCATGCTGATAAGAAACGGTCGTGCAGGGCTTTCAGGTTTACAATGGTGGCCCGACATTGATCGGTTCATGAATTCAGTGGAGCACAATAATCTACAAATCCTTTTAATGATAATATGAATTTTGTTATTTGTTTGATCTAGCAAAAATTAGAGGTAATACTTATGTATATGTCTTTACGATTATAATAAATTCTAATTATTTCATAAATACTACAACATTTAAACCAAGATAAAAACCAATTCGATATAAGTATTGTATGAAGATAACTACCAATTAAAGTATGTTTTAGTAAAGAAATATTTTAAATTCAGCCGCTTTGGGTTATCGTTGATAGTCTATAATCCAACGGTGTTACCTGTGTTGATTGAATTATTACCCTTCCCAGAGATTATCGTTAAGGAAAATAAGATTCTAGGAAAGGAGTGGTAATTTTTGTAATCAAAGACGCATTTCAGTTTTCCTTATCTTTAAATACTATGGTTTCGTTCTGTAACTACTTTGCGCGTATTTGAGTTATTTTACACCTAAACAAAAGCATTACACAATTATTTATAATTAAATGATTGATTTTGGGATAGGTTTAATGAATTAAAACTACATATGTATCTTTAATTGTAAGTGGCAAATCAGCAGGTAACGTTTACTAATCGACCCATTTTTATTGACAGTAGTAATTAGAGTTAAAATTTTTTAAACGAATAGACTTCTTACGTAACGGAAGAAACATTTTTGATCATATATTATTAAATGATAACAATAAGTTTGATTTACTGACTATCCGAAACTTACTTTTGTAACAAACCATGTTAGAAATGTTTTGGTCGGCCATTGAGCAGCTGTTATACTCGGTTTGTATGTGTATCGAATACATGCTGGTCTACAGCCTATTTGATAACTATCCATAGCTGTTCCAGTTTTTTCTGCACATTCTGCAAATCGAGCATAAGTAGAAACTGCTTCATCATTAAAATATAACTGTTTGGATTCGTTAAAATTATCTAACATTTGATAAGTTGCTGGAAGTTTGAATGCTTGACATTTTCTTAAATCTTTTCCAAGTAAATGTGTTGGAATTGGTAAATGTTGTGTTAAACATTGACAATTTGAAGCGACTTTTTCTTGCACCATATGTGCATGACATGCTTCTTCGCTAAAAGTATAGTTAACATTATTAAATGATATAAACTGTGGTGTATTTTTACTGCATCTGCCATGAGGTGGTTCCATCATAGACCATTCATATACTGTAAATCTTATATCAGTCATAGTTCCTGGCATTAAATTTACACCTTCTTCAGCTACACGAGGATAAGAAGCACCAGGATGTAAGAGCAGTCTTGCACCAGTTAACTGACTTGCCATGACTCTTTCCTAGTGTTTCAAAGGAAAAGAAAAATTTACAGTTTTTATAATAAATAGTTTTTGTTTGGTAATCAATATTTGTAATCAATATTGAAATCTGGCAAACAGTTGAAAATAATTTAGCTCTGGTTATGAACTATTATGTTGTGTGCAATACATAACCTTTGGATAAAAAGACAAGTAGTTTACAATAGATGCAAAGAGCTGAAAGTCACATTTTCTGAATGTATTCATTATGATAGTTGTGGTGTGTGCTACTTAATCGACACTAGTAGTATATGACGTTAGTCAGGAACAAAATGTCTGGCAGCAGAGAGACAAGAGGATCGAACAACGTGGAATGGTAACAGAATGCAATTTGTATGAAAATGCAAGAACAATGAAGTCTGATTTATTTTAAGACAACTGATGGACATTTTGCGAATTAAGCATTTACTATATGATTGTTAGATTTTATCAACAAGTTCTGTAATTTTCTACCAAATTCAATACATTGTCCCCTCTGGTGTTCTTGTTCACTGCAATAGTTACAATTTTTTTTGTTCACTTGTTAAACCAAATTTTCATTTGGAATATATTAGCTTTGTATAAAGTTTGACAGTCCTTCAGCAGGTGTCATTCCGTATAGACAGTTCTACTTAACTGGTATTCATAAACGACTTGATTTCAAAGTAATAACATAAGTTTAAACTTAAAAAATTCTCAAACAACTGCAGTTAGCTTGTTTGAAATACGACAGAAGTGAAAAGTTAGACATTTTCTCTCATTCAAAGTGATCAATAAACAGTTTAATTCGTTCATAACTGTAAAATAAAATCTAGTCCGAAATCAAATAAGTTTTCTTCAATGACAACTGATAATTTTTAAGCTATCGGGGAAGTAAACTGTAATTTTAAAATATGAGAATTGAATTAGGACTCGGTAGCAGTGTAGCTGTTTGATGTTTGTCAGATCTGATGTCACTTTTTTAGTCTTTTTTTGTTCGTGCCCAGTCATTAAATCATAACGAAATAATTGTTCTTTTCATTCGAATGATCAGTGATTTGTCAGCCACTGTAATTAATCTCAAACTATTAACCAGTCATTTATAATATTCAGACGAAATAAATCATTGACAGTACTCCAGACAGTATAAAGTTTGTAGGCTTTTATTTCTTAGATCAGTAAGTTATGTCTTACTGCTCTTTTGAAATGGTAGTAATAGTCTTATGATTTAGTAAAATGAATAAAATTCCCTTTTCTCGAATATATTAACCTAAAAAAATAGAGCAATAATTGTCTACAGTTAAGTTTTATTATTATAATCTGGATACTTTTGAAACTGTTATTGACAACTATGCAACCAATAAATTGATGCAAATGATAAAGTTACTTGTAATAATTGTAAATTGATTTAAGAAAAAGCATTTGTTCGGCCCTAGTCTAAGTATTTTCATTCCTTAGCCATCAGAAAATCTTATCTAACCGAGTCTGTTAATTTTTTATTATACACTGATAATTGTACATCGGTAATTGAAAATGGCAATTAAAATGAATTACATGTTGCTTTTATGAAATCATGATATACGGAGGATGTAATTTTGTTGATTAAGCTTTATCTTCAACGAAATGTAACATAATTTGAATCAAGTACAATGAAGTAAGTTGATTAAGATAAATATGGTATAGCTTCAATTGACTCGTGATTTCAACTATTGAAATTTTTAGAATCTCCACAAAACTTCTGAAAATATGAGTTTGTTTAATTAATATAAACTGATAGTATTAAAAGTGAATCAGTGAAATAATACTGGAAATTGTTTAAAAGTAAAGAAATCTATTAAATACAAATTGATGTAAATTGACTAGAATACTTTAAAATCCAAAAATGATGATAATAATAGGATGGCTTCAGTTCATTTAGAAGTTATTACTTGTATTTTTCTATATTGAGAGGTTGGTATGCACTAAATCTACAACTGAATCTTCTGAGGTTTACAAAAAAAACCCAGTAAAACGAGAAAGTGTCAAAGGACCGGATTTATTTTCTATTTTATTTATTTCAGTTGTCATGATAAAGCAACTGTAAAACGATTAAACGATAGTTTTTTTGTTACGTGTATCTTTCTTACTTCTATGAAGTATGGGATTAGGTTTCAAGAACAAGTATCTTAGTTACTGCACAATATGTTAATTGTTAAGAGATTTTTTCGATGAATTTTTGCTTTTAAATAAAACTGATTAGCGACTAGTTATATAAGTTAATTATAATGAGGTGCAAGTGATTTTCTAGTGAAATTCTATAATTTTGTGACGTTAAAATAAATTTAATTTAATTCTTTCAGTAAAATAATTTTAGCCGTTAAAGGAAATCATTACTAAAGAATATAAAACTGCTCGATAATTTGATTTATATCAACAACTAAAAAAGGAACCACCCATGACAATCAGTTGTTAAAATATACTCGATATTTAATTGAATATAACTGAGTCTTCAAAGCAAACAATTATATATTCAAAGTTTTCAAAACATTATTTAGAACCATTTCGGTCAAGTTCAATGAACTTAATATTGTGTAACATTTTAACATATTTACAGTTGTTCTTTTTCCTCTCATAAATTATATCTGTTTAAATAAAGCCAGAACAAAGATTGATGCAGAATAATATGAATTCATTATATTTCGTGGTTTCGCAGCAGCTGAAGCGATCGCGATAAAAGAACTCAAACATGATCTTTATATTCAAAAAGAGACAGTAGTAAACCTATTACTACCCTGATGATTCAATTTTTTCGGTCATTAGTTTATTTTGTTAATGTTTAGTTTGTATTATATTTCTCTTCCATTACCGAATTGTTAAACCACTACTTCACTCCTACATTTCCACTCACTTGATTCTCTTAAAGTATGTGAACCCTTCAAATTCTATTCAATTATCACGTAACCCATATCATCAGTTTTTAATTCCATGAATCCTTCATTAACTCTTAAAATATCACATTATTTATCTTATCTGCCTCTGAACTCTACTCAACTATTACATCACTCATCCTTAATGTTTCCTTGATTCTAACGCTAAATAACTTCTGAGCTGTTCTTGCACACATATATGTACAGTTATTAGTGATAACCCTTGTCATTCTAATTCTTTACATTCCCTTATGTCAATTGTTTCACACTATTTCTTACCTCAATGTAAAATTCTAATACATATTTGGTTGTAAGCAGCTAATGAGAAACTACGAAATATAGTGAATTCATATTATTCTACATCAATGTTGGTTCTGACTAATTAAATTCATAAAAGGAACTAATTTCATGAAATTATATCTGTGTTCAGAATTAGTCTTTAAAATGTATATATCATTTCCTCTTTCTCAATGTATTAACTTTTGATGCTATTGTATAACATCATTTGACAATCAATAATTGATTAAGAACTATTTTTTTGTCTAGACCCTATTATGTAAGCAATTTATTGAAAACATAATATTAAGTCATGAAAAATTCATATAAATCTATTTGTTATCTTTTAACTTAATAACACTATTCTATTTCATTAGCTAAGATTATATACATAGAACTATAATAGTAGTACATATATATACCTTTACTAACTTACTATTCCTAAAAAGCATCATACATCATCTAATTAGACAGAGTAAAGTAATTATAACGTTTTTGTAACTATCTAACCATATATCACTAATAACCAGATAGTTTTTTATTTAAAGTGGTTGTTTTAATACAATAAAAAAACAAATTATCCTACGGGAAATTATAAACTCATTGCTTCTATGTAATCATCTTTGGTGATGATGTTTGTTTTTTTCCTCTTTTTTTCCTCTTCCTTTCAAATGTTTCTATTTCATCGTATTTAATTCTTATTAAAAATTAAATTTTAAGTATATTTTTTCTATAAAAGAAAAGTTGGTAAATAATTTACTACTGAGTAAATTTGTTCTGCTTTTATTCATTCTTTATTTTCATGGGTAATCAACGGACTATAATTGCAATGATGAAATTAAATAGTTATGTATGATTAATTACGTAATTCACAGTCATTCAGATTGATCTTATATGCATAATTTAATTCTTAAGTTTACAACTGAAGTCTTGGAAACCATTTTGATTAAAGCATCAAACAGATTTTCTTTAATTTGATATTTACGCTTGAATTTAATCAATTTTTGTTACCGTATGGGTAATTTGAACGAATGTCTTGATATTTTTTTTGGACTTAAGTGTTGATTATATTTTAGATCTTAACTTTTAAACAACCGTTTGCATACAGCTTTAAAGCAATTAGTCCCTTTGATACATTTTGATAGTGTAATAAAAAGATGAAGATTATCAGAACTATGTGATATATTAGCGCAATACATTTCGAATAATCTGATCACATATACATTTGTTAAGAACATTTATATATAAAAAAATTAAAAGGTCACCTAGACTAGAACTAGAAGGTAAGAAGAGACAATGATAATCAAGAAATAATGCGAAAACAATTTGTAAACTAATCAACAGAGTAGGTTTAAGGTGAGAACAAACTTTTTGAATACACAAAGGTGGTTTGAATTTTCGTATGACTAAGGCTTCAGAACAAAAGAATTGAATGGAACTAGTACTTTGACAAGTTCATATTACAAGATTAATTAGCTTTTACAGTAGTCAAAATTAAAAATTCAACTGATTTACACCTCTGCACTAGCTAGAAAAACGTTTTTACTACCGTCAATTTGTACATAACAACATTTTTTCAAAGTATTGCTCTTGATCTTGTTAGAAATTATCATTATTTTTACAAATACTCTGAAATATACGATCTCAAATCTTTGCGTAAACGAAACTTCATAATATAAATGAATATACTTAGAATGTCACTGTGTCTAATCAGTGAACTTCATTTAGTTATTCTTTAAATTATTACAAAATTAACACTTAAACAATCTAGGATCTAATAATATTAAACGAAAGATTAGAAATGTTTCTGATGAAACAACAGCATATAAAAACATGAACTCA